AGTTCTGAAGGCAAAGCTTTTCGAGTAGTGGAGGAAGTGGATAGAAATGTGAAGAACAGAGGAATGAAATTCAGATGGAGGAACTATAAACAAAAGGAGTCATGTAGCAACCTCGTGTGAAAAAACTACTTATGGTTTACTGCTTTAGAACTCTTAGGTGTACATTTGGGTGTGTCCAACTTGGGAGTGGAGTGAGGGAGATAATGGGGAGTCCTCAAGATGTATAATACTTTAAATGAATATTCAAATTCACATTGACAAGGAGAGAAGTAGGATAAAAGAATGAAGTCAAAAAGCCACTCACTTTTGAGAATTGCATAGAGAGACCAGTTACATAATCTTAAGCTGTCCTGGTAGTGGTCATCAAGAAAATAAAATATACTATGTCTTGATTATTGTTACATATGGAAATATTGCATTTGTAATGACTTGGAAAAATTGCTTTTAAAAAAGCCAAGATATGTAGAAATAAAAATAAACATCTTCCTTGCTAATTTGATTGTCTTATTCCAGAAGAAGGCTAAAAAGTGTTAACTCTCCTAGCAAATAAAGCCCATTTATGGGGGGCATGTAATGTTCCAAATATTCCCTCTCAATCAATTTTGGTCTATAAGGCTGAGTCATATGTTTTGGCCAAAGTGTTACAATGGAACCCGATATAGCTGCTTGTTGCTCATAAGTGAACTCAAGAGACAAGAGTTTATTTAGGAGTTGGCAACCCAAGAGGTTGACAGAATAGTGTAACAAAGGCCATCTCTGGCTCCTAGGGCTGGCTGAAGGGATTTTAAAGAGAAAGGACCTTCAGAAACTATGTGCAGGTCAGCATGTCTTGTACTGATGATTATCTTGAGTAGTGGGCCATCTGGTGGTCTGGTTGGTCTCATCTAGACTACAAGAGGATGGTAGATTAATGCTTAACTTTGCATTTTGAGAAGGCATTTTGCAACTTTGCCCAGGGAGGAGTGCAATGGCATTCAGCTCATTGCAACCTCCACCCCTCAGGTTCAAGCAATTCTTCTGCCTCGGACTCCCGAGTAGTTGGGATTACAGGCATGTACCACCACGCCTAGCTAATTTTGTATTTTTAGTAGAGATGGGGCTTCTCCATGTTGATTAGGCTGGTCTCGAAATCCCAACCTCAGGTGGCCTACCTGCCTCAGCCTCCCGAAATGCTGGGATTACAGGTGTGAGCCACCATGCCCAACTGCAACTTTGGTTCTATCTCGGGTTCCTTCCTGAAGTTTTTAAGCAAGCACAAATATTAGGCATTGAAAGAGAAAGAATGATAATTTACTTCTAAAATGAGTGACTGCTTCAGTTACAAATTGCTCACTGCCAATTTTTACATCCATTTCTATGAAAATGGAGCAAGTCTATTCTGGCTACTTCCTGCTGAATGGGGGCTCCACTGGGGACATAGAAATGAAACCATTTGGCCAGGCAGTGACCTGATGTTCAGGACTTTGTTTATTTTCAGGTCTTTAGAAATTGATCTAGTTGAAAAAGATGTTGGGCTACATATGTGGCTTGAGTGGTCCTGATAGAAACAACTCATAAAGATAAATTAATTTAGTCCTTAGAGTCTTAATATATTTTGCCATTGCTAGATTTCTTTAAGTATTAGTAGATTCTCACACCAGTGCAGAAGCTTGGAATAACCAACCATGTAATTTTAGAGAGAATCAATTTTTACCTATTTTGAGGAGCCATTTTGATTTACAACAGGGCAATTGACAGTACCTTATCTTGAGTCAAATAGTTTTTTTGACATACATAGGTATTTTTTTTTTAAGAGTACAGTTTATCTTTTTAGTTTTTTCCACCATTATGGTCTCCAAGATGATAATTTAAAGCTTGCAGGAAGGGGTGAGTTACAGCTTTTCCTGACATTATTGCAGGGGATATATTAGTATTAACTCCAAAATACATGAACCCTGTGTCAATAAGAAAGTCAATAAGTTTGTTCCCCATTATCAGTTATATTTGGATCTCCTGTGAGAATATAATGGTATGTTGATTAAATATACATATTTAACATGTTATAGGAGGAGCTATGAATATTTATTAAGGTGGTCCTGACAGATGTATATTGAACAAATACGCATGTAACAAACCACTCATGTGCACCTTGGGGTTGAGACTTATAATTTAACCATGTTACAATTAGGTCCTATATGTTAAAGGTTCTTTTCAGGACACAAAAGCACACAAGTACACAATTTCTGTAAACTGCCAAAACTAATCCGTGGTCAATGATCTCAGGAGAAAGTTATTGGAATCAGTCTCTCGTTCAATCAAAGTTGTAGTTATGACTGGTGGCACAGGAGCTGGGGGTCATTCAACATCTAGTGGACCTTCAGATTGTTTTAATACGCTTATCTCAAGGCCAGCGCTTGTTTAGCTGCTAGAGAAAACTAACAATCCTGTGACAGAACACAGCATATTCTCTAAGCATAGGGGTGTGTGCCTTGACCTTTGCCTGGTGTAGCCTTAGGCTCTGTTTATAATTTGGTATCATTGTCACAGAGTCTGCTGTCAGTCTCATGATCTCTATGTAAATGTTAATGTGGGTCACTTATGTCTAAACCATAAAAGGGAAGGAGTATAATGAAGAGTGTCTGATCTCCCATTTCACCGTGGTTGGTAACAGTTTTTAAGGTTTTCTTTCCTGAGGTTTCCCTGGCTAAGAAAGTTTTCATTTAGTTGGTGAGGGGCTTAGATTTTTATTCTTTATTTTATATTCCCTCTTTTTTGGTAAAGACATGCCAGAGGCAGTATTGGTGGCTAAGTTTTATTTTATTCCCAATGGATGCTGGGATGATGTGGCTACCCACCCAGAGTTCCTCATGTTACATGGTGGGACTTCTATGGCCAAGGGACTTAGAGTCAAAGATTGAGAACCAATTAACCATTCTGAGCCAGATGGGGATAGAAGGGGTAGGTGCTAATTAATACTTGGCCCCTTTCAAATAACTGAAGAGTCAGAAAACAAAACCTAAAAAAGCAGGATAACAAAGTTGCCTTGTCTATAAGTCTTATGTATTGAGCCATTAGCCATTTAGGCACCTGTGTATCTGTCTCTGATTTGGAGGGTCTGAACTAGTTTTATCCCTCAGAACAAGCCCTTACAATATCAAACACCAACCTCTTCCATGCTAGTTCCTGGGCTTAGACTTCTTTAGTTTTAGCAGCAGTACCTTGGCAATGCAAAACAGATTGGCCCACTGGATTTAACAGTTTTCAAATTCTGAACTTATTAGGTAGAGAGAGAAAGGTAATCTATGTTGTTATATTCAATTTTGTAAGCTATAAATAGTTAAAAGAAAATAGGTTTTACTGTCTCTGGAAAAATATAAAGAATTAGCTATGTTTATCTTATTTTGAGGATGTTTGTCAAAGATGTTAAAAGGTCCAAAATATTTGATGAAAATGGAATCATAGGCCAATGAAATACAGTTATTCATTTAACCAATAGTAATAATCAAAAAACTTTAAAAAATCAATACAGAAAGTTATATGGATATAAAACCCTTAACTCTTTTAAAGTTGTTTTCCTAAGAAATTAAAAAAAAAACCTGATAAGACAACACAGGAATTATCTTAATAGCTTGTAAAATCTTTGTTTCTTAGGCCAGTTATTAAAAAGAAAAAAAAAGAAAACCTTCTTCAGTGTGATTGCTTCTCCTTTGGAAAGCTCATTTAGATAACCTGGAAACCAAATCTGATGAAAAAAAGTGCTTATGTTTCATCAGACGCAGGAAGAGTATGTTCAAGGTTATGAGTATAGCAGGGGAATATATAATTCTTAGTAACAATATGAGAAGTATCCTACTTAAATTGAAAATATAGACATGTAAAGAAAAGCTAAGAGTACAGAATCAAGTTATTCACAGGAAAAAAATATTGTTTTTCTAGATCTTCAAAGTAAAACTTTTCAGCATCAGACCACAATAGTTAGAGCCAGAGAAAAAAATTTATAGAAGCTGACGAAAAAGTTGGAGAGAATTATCGAGGAAAGAAAAGGCTGAAAGAAGCAAGACACAGTAAAGGTTGAACTTTTGAGATATCAATCTGAGAAATTTTCAAAAGAAACAGGTAATGTAATTAAAAATGAAGCCTTTTATAATTCCATTAAGACTATTCATTAATCAATATCTTAAGAAAACCTTAATATAGGAAATCAGTTTTAGAAAGAATATTATAATGTTTCACTTTTAATTATAGCTAAATTAATGACACAAAATTCTTTTTATATTTTTTTCACAAACCTTTTAACAATTTACACAGATTATTTACAACATGCTTGAAATTTCTGAGTTATCCTATACTACTTCTTTCCTAAATAAGTAGTCATTTTACTTTAGGACAAAAATTCACCATATATAAGATCTTTTCTCATACCATATTATTCTCTGTTTTTTATGATCTTTCTTACCAAAAGTGCATCTTGATATTCATAACTTTCCTGACACCTCTGTCTTTTACTTAATAGTTCCTTTCTACATTATTTCATAAATAACTTTTAAGCATCTTCTAAATAACATAAAATTACTGATAAGAATACAATAAGAACACAACCAACAGAATTATATATTAACTAGAATTCTTATTCTCAATGATCTTAAATTTTAGTGAAAATTTTCTATCTTTAGAAAGAAAGAAATGCTGACCTATCTCAGATGTTAGCATTTTATAGATAAAACTACTCCACAATTTTGAGAAACATATTTTCCCATATCGTAAAACTTTCTTTTTTTAAATATATGAAAACATTTGTTTATTTATTTTTTATTGTACTTTAGATTCTGGGGTACATGTGCAGATCATGCAGGATTGTTTCATAGGTACATACATGGCAATGTGGTTTGTTGCCTCCATCCCCCCGTCACCTATATCTGGCATTTCTCCCCATGTCATTCCTACCCAACCCCCCCCACCCTCCCCCTGCTGTCCCTCTTCTGCCCCCTGACAACAGACCCCAGTTCGTGATGCTCCCCTACCTGTGTCCATGTGTTCTCATTGTTCAACACCCGCCTATGAGATCCATAAAACTTTCTTAATTGGAAATGACCAGACATCCAATGAGCATCTAGAATTAAATTCAGAATAATTTTAAAATCTTAAATTACACAAAACTTTTACCTACAACCATTTCTCCCATTTATATGTACTCAATTTTTTCATTTTTAACAGTTTATCTAGGTTACTTCTGAAAATTGAGATAATGGTATTGGACAAAGTTAATCATCATTTAAGATTATTTCCTTGTTAACCATCCTTAAAGCCTGTAAACATCAGGTGTTCACCTAAGTAAGAATCTTAAACTCATGGATATTTTGCCAATAACTCAGAAAATTCTGCTTTTTTCATTGAACCAACAATTTTAAATTAGTTTTATTTGCCAAAAAAACTCACACAAGCAAAGGCTATTCTGTTTTTGGTTGAGTTAATAGTATTATAATCTTTATGCCAAACTCTAAAACCTATAAATATCTAGCAAAAGTAAATATAAATTAATTGGTAAACTCACACAAAAATCTATGTTGACAATTCTAAAGACACATTTTTATTTTACTAATAATTTTAAAACCATTTTTATTTACTAAAGATTACTGATTTCATACAAACTTGAAAAGCATTTGGACCTACTTAATTTATGAGTATTCATTTATTTATAATCCAATTTGGTAGCATTGCAGGCACAACACACAATATACTACATGTATATATACATAAACATATTTAAGCATTATATATAAACGAAAGTGAAGATCCGGTAGCTTTTACATCAGAGCTAGCCATGAGACAGCAGTACAAATTCACCAGCCTACTAAAGATAGCTGGATCCAAATTATTTTTGACAAAATTGAAACCGGTCCACATGTCTAACCCTGTTTTCCCTTATAGGTAACCTAATGTAGGCTGTGGACTGAAATTTTGGAGAAAGCAGTTTTCATGACAGTTTAATTTTTTTTAATCTCTTTTACCTTCTTTCTTTTAGGTTTTAAATGAATTTTCATTGTCTATATTTTAGCTCGAATGGGCCGGGCTATGCAAGGAAAACAAAATCTCCGAGTATCCTTGAATCAATATTAACATAAACAGTGAGTTGTATCTCAGCACAAGTAACTTAATAACAGCAGATTCAAAGCAGACAGAAAAGAAAAGAGAAAAATAGAGAGCTTTGGAAGACCCCACTTAACTCTATAGCTGCAGGTTAACCATTTAAGCTCTAAATTTTTCTTATAGTAATGCACCCATTAGTTTAAAAAGGCACACAAAAATGAGCCATAATATGCAACCAGCTGGAGTCCAAGAAAACCTGGCATAACTTTGAACATTTTCATATTTTTAAACAAGTAAAACCTAATAAACACACAGAAACCAAAACAATGTAGCACTCCCAAACTAATTCCCGAAAAAGAAATCAGAGAAATATCTTTTAGAATCTTCTATCACGACAAATGATATCACAAACAACCTGGGCTTGGTCCAAATGGCATAGAAAGCTTAAATAGCAAAAACAGAGGATTTCTAGTGTGCACACTAGTTTGACTTACCCAGTCTTGGAGGCTGTCAGCTCTTCAGATACTGCTGTTCCTTGCATCAACTGAGAATCACAGGCAGCAGAGGCCATGCAAAGAGAAATCCTCAAGGAAAGTGTTTTTGTCAGCTGCTAGGTGTTCTTAGAATCCTAGCTAGAGGGTTAGCTAGCCGTGAGCAACTGACACTCAGAGTGGTTGTTACCCTGCCTGGTAGTGTGAATGGGTAAGTCCTGGCACACTTCCATGTTCTATTGCTCCATCCATTGGAAATCAGGCAGGTTGGACATCCCTAGACACACATCCCACATTGGATGCCAGGAATTTTCACTGAATCTAGGTTCCACTTCTTGCCATTTGAAAACTAAATTCAAGAGACAAGAGTTGGTGCAAGAAAGAAAAAGTAGGTTTATTGAGGAACTGGCAACCAGAGGAAATAGTAGACTAATGTTACAAAGGCCATCTCTCTTTCCACAGGCTGGTTGAATGGATTTTAAAGGGGAATGGCCTAGAGGAACTACATGCAGGTCAGCATGTCTTGTTCTGATGATTATCTTGAGTGGACCATCTAGTGGTCTGGCTGGTGTAAGCTAGACTGCAATAGCATTGCAGATTAGCTTCTCAGTATTTTCTTCATGGGAGTGTTTTCCAACCTTGGTTTTATCTCAAGGCTGGTTCCAGAAATTTTTAAGCAAGCACAAAGTTAGGCATTGTTAGAGAAAGAATGACTATTCACTTGTAAAAATTAGTGCCTGTTTCATTTACAGTACCACTTTAATTACCCAATAAGGTCAATTAAATCATCATAGATTTTATTGTTACCTTTTCAAAAATGAGGAATGAACATGTGCATTTCTGGATCAGAGTGAGAGACTGTATATGTATTTTTAACTTTCTTACCTCCAGAGATGACAATGAGATGACTTTAATGGAGCAAAAAAAGTTTACATTCACAGTGATGAAGAAAATCAGTCAATGACTAAAGAAATGAGATCAACATTCTTTATATACATGTAAAGAAAACTGAGGAATGGTTGCTAATGAAGTAAGAGCTACAGCCTAGGATAAGTAAGTAGAAAGTTGTAGCCAAGGAGGGTAGCAGATGTGCTTTGTAGATCTTAGGCAGAAGGGTTGGTGTTTAACATACTAACTAAAGAATGGGGATTAAAACAAGGAAATTAATTACAAATTAATAGGTAATATGGTTGACTAGTCACCTCTCTCTATTCTAGACATTTAAAACCACTCACTCATCACTAAAGAAACAGAATGTACTCGTTCATGAGAACTAAGGTAATTAGTGTGGACACAGAAATCTCAGAACATCCTTGTTTTGAGGTCCCAAAGTGTGAAAACCCAATTCTCTTGAGAACAATAACTGATGAGACATGTAAACTATTTAAAAGTCATACTCATTAGGTATTATCTCCCTCTTAGGACTGAAGGTTACCAGATTAAAAAAAAATAGTAGAAAAGAACTTAATATATGCAGGTATACAAGACAGATTTGGTAAGGGAATCAAAACATTACATAATAATTAGAAACATATAATTGAAACAGGAGGTCAAACATCCAACTAATTAGAGCTTGAAGAAGAGAACATAAAGGAAACATAAAGTTTTATTTGAAAATTTTCTTTTTTTCCTCTCTCTTTTTAAATTTTTTTTTTTTTTAATTATGATTAAGCATGCCCTGCGCTACAGGATGATGCATTGAGAGCTGCTTCTGTGGACTGCAGTCAAGCTGAAAATTTTCAAAGAAATAAAGTAGGAAATTTCTCAAGTTGAATGACACAATACTTTATATTAAAAAGTCTGGCATGGGGAGAAATGCAAGATATAGGTGAAGGGGAGGAAGGCAGCAAATCAGACTGCCACATGTGTACCTATGCAACAATCTTGCATGGTCTTCACATGTACCCCAAAACCTAAAATGCAATAAAAAAAATCTATGTAGACTAAAGTACCTATTCAGCATATTTGGAACACTGAGAACAGCAAGGCTTAAGAGAAGATTCTAAATTTCTGGAGTGAAAAAGCAAAACAAATCAGAAACAAAACAAATCAACTACAGGGGATAAAAATACTGACTGGCTGCAAAATTTCAGCAACAACAATGAATTTAAAAGAAAGTAGCAAAATACCTTCAAAGTTGCGTACTCTTCCACTGATAATTCTATGACCAGTGAAATTATCAAATGTCAAGATAGAATGAAGTCATTTTTAGGCATTTAAACAATTATAATAATTCTTTATCATTCATTCTAATTTAGTATTTTACTTTAGGATAACTTATAAATAAATAAAAAGAAATAAAAAATTTTAAAAGCAAATAGATTAAATATGTTTCAAAAGAAATTAGTAACTGTAAGAAAAACAAATAAAACTAACACTAAATCATAAAAGTACAATTCCCAATGCTCTAATAATTAATCTTTTAAATACATATAACATGATTAACAAATCCATTTAGAATTTTAAAATCAATTTAAAGCCAAAGAAGAGGACCTAATTTTACTAATTAAATGGAATCAAATTTGACCATATAAAAGTACATGTAGCAAAGTTAAAAGGTAAAATGATAAACAACAAAAGACAATCAGAAGGATAATAAAACCCAAATCCTAATATGATAATGTTTAGAGTCAAGTATACTATATACATACGGTAGAGTAAGAAATAAAAACATGAGCAATATCATTTAAAATTTGCAAAATGAGCTAATAAACCATATAAATTTGGTGTTGTAATTATGCTGATAGTAAAAGATAAAATGAGCTTGACTGAATACATCAAAACAAAAATCCAACTTTATTTATGAAGTTTATAAAGGCACAAGTAGCAACATTAATATATTATTTTAAAATATGGGCATAACTCCCAGTTAAATAATTGAATGTGTGAAGGGATTAGATAAGACAATGTTAGGTTTTGTAGGGAACCAGTTTGGTGTGACAAAGGAATGAGAAAAGGATGGGTTAAGAGAGAAAGTGGCACCAAGGGCCATCACTTTGTAATACTGGGGTTCAGGGTGCCCTCAGCTCCCCTGAGAGGATGTTTCTCCAGGTTCTTGGTCTCCTGCCTTGGTCTCAAGAATGAGAGAGGGGACCACAGCACAGTGTGCAGTAAATGCCAGACTCAAACATGTTTATAGAAAGTGATTAAAGAGAGAGAGAAACAGGAGAAGGAGAGAGAAAGAAACAGCTAACTCTCGCACTGAGTGAGAGAATCCAGAAAGATGGAAGCCAGGAGAGGAAAACAGCTTCCATGAGAGTGTTAGGGAATAGAGAGAGATGGAGTTTAGGAGGAGAAGACAGTCTTCCATGAGAGAGTTTAGAAGGGATCTCCAGAGGGAAAACCCAGGGAGAGAAAGATGGATTCCAAGAAGGGAGTGTTTGTGGAAGGGGACCCAGACATGGAGTCCCAAGGGGTGTGGAAGAAGCGGACTTTTAACCTGGGAGGAACCCCCGCCTTCTCCAAGACCCCTGGCCAATGAAAGGAGATCCTTAGAACTACTGCTGGAGTGATAAGACACTTAGTTTCTTCCCGTGCCCGTGAAATTCAAACATAAACCATTAAATCTCCAGGATGGAGAGAGATGGGAGGGGGCAGCATGGTGCTAGGAAATTCTTGTCCTTAAGACTATGCCCCCTTGTGGACCCAGAAAGAGAAAACCTTCCCTCATTCCCCCCTCTGAACAGGAAAGCTCAACTTCTGTTGGAACACGGGCGTCGATCCTCTTTAACTACTTCCTGCTGAAATGGGGCATAGAAAGGGGCCCTGCAGTTGAGGTTTCCTCCAGAGGGGAGCCTTTCAAGGTGCAGGTTGATCTACATGTCCACGATAGAGTTCATGAGCCAAGGACATCTGGGGTTCCAGTGGCAGGATTGTGACCTTATGGTTCTATAAGAAATGAATGGGACAGTATGGTTAAAGATGAGAGGCCTGGAGGCCAACAAATATAGAATGGTTATAAACGAGCCTAGGAGAGAACGGAGCCAGGTTCTTGAAGGTCTTTAGCCCTGTGTTTGATTGATTCCTGAGTTCTATATTCAAAACAACACTTAACTGGTTTACAAGATAGCAGCATTTTGCCTAAGAAAGAGACAGGTCCCTTTCTTACCACGAAAAGGATAATCGGAGTTTGAGAGATAGCAAAGTTGAGGATTATAGTCCTGTTAATGCCAGGATATAAATTAGACTTATGACTTACTTCCCTGAAGATATTGTTGGAAAAACAGATATAGATCTTCTCATGGCTCACAGGTGGATGAAGGGTTGTCTCCTGGAACTTCAGGCTGTGGAGTGGAAGGTCTATGACTTCCTTCAGGAGGTATTCAAGGCTTCAACCAAGTATGATGAATCCATGAGTTAATTTCCACTACTTCAATTGCTGTTGGAGTAGACAGAATGATCAAAAATGGTACTTCCCAGGATGGGCCTAGAGAGGGAGCATCTGAGGGGAGAGAATTAACAAGCACCAAGTCTCCAGGGCAGGAGAGAAATACTGAGAAGGCCATGCAGTGTCCAGAAGATTAACTTCCTGGACCTCTATGGTCAGCTTTACCAGGGGCTCTGTGAGGGTGACGGCTCACGCTGGCTCTTGCTCCAGGAATCCTCAGTCCTGCCACTGGGTCATCTGATCAGACATCTCAGGCCCTGAGAACCTTCGTCCCCTGGGACAGTGTGCTTTCCAGTGATTCCCTTGGCACAGCAGGCATGGACAAGATGGTGGTTCATTCCTCTGGGGACAATTTCTTATAAAGTATCCCTTCAGACCTCACTAGTAACAAGTTCTGCCAGACTAGTGGCTAACCCACGCCTCATTTGAGCCCCTAGGGTCTGCTTGCCTGAAAGCCATGACTAAGGCTGATCTCTCCTGTTCATTTCAGCCTGTTCCTCCTGGTCTCTCTTATAAAACACGGAGGTTGTCTGGTTTAGTAATGATTCTAGACTCTGCTCTGGCCCCAAGGCCAGTTTCTGGAGCTTCCACCTGATACCTGCTGCTGACTCATAAACTTGTCCTTTAGTATTAACTGACCCTCTATGAAGTCTGGTGACAGGGGAGTGTACTTTCTTAAGGCCTCCTACTATTGCTCAAGGGAAGCTGTTGGGTTTTCTTCCCTTCCCTTTGGGGGCCAGATTTTCCACTTGGCAGAGGGTAATTTGGCCACACTTGGCAGAGAAAAATAAGCCACTTCTTCCTTAAAGACTGTGCTAAGTTGGTCCCAATTTTCCAGTATACACTTTAATGGAGACTTGAGCTTGGGAATAGAAGCACCCATCTGAAATCGAACACAAGGGATGCCTGCACCCCTAATTAAGAAATTATAGCTGCTTCAACCTGAGGCATTCCCCCAGGTAAAATGGGTACTGAAATGAAACATCTTTCAGTCAGTACCCCAGAATCTTTTTGCCCAAGATGTGTGATCCATCTTATCAGAGGGCCTCCCATATACTGGATTTCAATGATGACCTAAAAGCATCATGGGACCATTCACTGCCTGCATGACCTTCAGTGACTACCATAGCGGCATGGTACAAGAAGAGCTTTTGGGTTGGGTAGTCACATACCAGTGAGCCCCACTGAGGCCAGTGAGGCTCAGGAGGTAAGTACCAATATTTCCCAGCAAAAGTCTGATTTACACAGGCCAATCTATAAGACTGCCACAGAAGTTTACACTAGAAGGGTAAACTTCTAGGGAGGGGCCATTAGAGCACACAGTTCAAAGAAGGCAGGCTGGGCATGGCTGAGACTGGAACAATCCCCTCAAGACTGGGGCATCCTCTCCCCAACCCACCTTCCCTTGTAGGAAAATGCTCTTAAGGCTGTGAGACCTGCCATTGACTATTTGGGCCCTGGAACTGGTTTAACTATGATTTTCTAGATGGAAAAGTTCTGCTGTAGAGAGAGCCAATCTTAAGCAAGACAAATTATCCACCACATACGAAGTCCCAGAGCCTTCAGCTTCTGAATTTTCCCCCAAAAGTCTTTCCCAAATCAAGACTAACACCACCACGTATTTGAACCAGCAACCATACAGTCGCAGGTCCCACATCTTAACCAACTGTACAAACAGGTCACTTACATTATAAGAAGGCAGAACGCTTTCTTAAGCCATATTTTGAGTGAGAATGCTGCACCCTGAGGCAGCGTGGCCTGCCTCAAAGCTGGGTGGGGCTGACGGTCAGCAGCAGCCTCTTCCTTTCCCTCAGCCGCAGGGGCAGAGAAAAAAAAGCCGCTTGTCGCGTCAGTTTAAAAGCTGCGTTCACAGCTGCAGTGAGTTTCTCCACTCTCGTGGCTTTCCATCATCACGTTGACCCCGCAAGAACCACATGCGCAGTTGGGCCACTCCCCAAGCTGCTGCCCATACAGGGACTGGCAGGCGGCAGGTGAAAGTACTGGGGAGCCTTTTTACCCTGCTGCCTGGGACTGGAGAATGCCAGAGAAGCCTGCCATACACCAGGCTGCCACACTCCCTGGTCCCTGCAGGCTCAG